CAAATCTGAAGTCAGATTTTAATAATTCAAAATGGCGTATTCAATATTATTATTATTATTATTATTATTATTTATTTATTTGAAGTCGACCATCAATTTCGGTCGACTGACACAGTATACAAAGTAACTATAGATATACACAGAAATAAACTTAACTAAAAATTAACAAATGTATTTAACATTACATTAAAAAGAAAAAATAAAAAAGTAAATTTAAAATGTCAGTTTAGACCCAGAAGTATTGCATTATGCAAGACAGCAAACGAACATTCAATACCAATACATTTGTACAAGTCATTATAGTACGAGCACCAAACACGCAAAGGATCACTAATTTCAAAATTGAGACGACAAAGTGGTAAATGGAAAGGCACGTAGTTTCTGGATGCCCTAGCCGGAACTGCAAAGTTTAGTCGACTTAGCAACACGGAGGAGTCAACCTCGCCGAGAATCAACTTATGCAGGAACATTACCCCGAGCAATATTCTACGATTTTCAAGAGTTGGCAAACCAATAAGAAGAAGCCTGCTTCTATAAGGTGGAAGATGAATATTTGAGTCCCAATTAAGGGCCCGTAGAGCAAATAACAGAAATTGTTTCTGCACTGACTCAATGCGCTTTATATGAGTAATATAACCTGGACTCCACACACACGAGCAATACTCAAGTATTGGACGGACCAACGAAGTGTAAAGAACCTTGGTGAGATAGGGATCATTAAACTCTTTAGCCCAGCGTTTAACGAAACCAAGAGTACCCATTGCTTTATATGTAATAGCGGATATATGTGAGTTAAAGCTCAGTTTCGAGTCGAACAGAACACCTAAATCGTTTACCGTAGATATACGCTCCATAGCAGTGCCATAAAGTACATAAGATGATAAATCAGGCTTCACACGGTGAAATGTCATAAACTTACATTTAGAGCAGTTTAAAACTAATGCATTTCTTGTGCACCAACGTTGAAATGCATCCAAATCAACCTGAAGTAGATTTAAACGAGGTAAGTCCGAAGGCAAGTACGAATAACAAATTTTTTACATCATCTGCATACATAAGAGCTCGAGAATGAATCAAAATCTGTGGCAAGTCATTTATAAAAAGAGTAAAAAGCAGTGGGCCTAAATGACTGCCTTGAGGCACGCCGGAGGTAACATCAATTGATTTAGAAATAATATTATTATATAGCACCTTTTGAGTTCTATTAGAAAGATAACTTGAGAGCCATAAAGCCAAATTCGACGGAAACCCCAGTAAATCGAGCTTCTGAATCAGAAGTTTGTGATTCACTGAATCAAAAGCTTTACTGAAATCAGTATAAATCACATCCGTTTGCTTTTTTGCCAGAAAACCATCCCGAACTAAAGAAGTAAACTCAAGCAGGTTTGTGGTGGTTGATCTACCCCTCACAAAACCATGCTGACAGGGTGATAATATGGAGATACACGAATGTTGAAGTTGACTGGTAATTATTTGTTCAAAGGTTTTAGGAATATCTGAAAGCTTAGCAATTCCTCTATAGTTCTCAATGTTAGATCTACTACCTTTTTTGTGCAGAGGAATAATAAATGACTGTTTCCAGATTGACGGGAAAGACGCCGATTGCAAAGATAACTTGAACAATTTTAGGATCGGTTCTGTCAGATTCACGGCACAGAACTTAAGCACGCAACCAGGAATACCATCAGGCCCTGGGGAGAAAATCGGTTTCAGAGCAAGGAGACTCTGGAGAACAGTGGTACTGTCAATGACTGGATTATTAATACAGTTAGAACTAATTATTTTATACGGATAACTACCGGCTTGAGCACAGGTCGAATAGGTAGATTTAAAAAAGTCCGCAAAAAGATCAGCAATATCATGGTCATGGCTAGCATTCTTACCTCCCAAAGACAAAGAAGATGGAAATCCCAAAGATTTTCGTTTTGAATTAACAAAACCATAAAATTTTTTTGGATTATTAAAAAAATTCCAGTTTGCATCTACTTAAATAGGACTTGTAGCAATTTTGGCTCAGGAACTGGAAATTGGACCGGGCAACTAAATATTTAGAAAAATCTACCGAAGAACCAGATCTTTTGAAACGCTTATAGAGCTTCGATTTAATGTTATTAAGGTTAGCGAGTTGTCTTGTGAACCAAGGTGGCTTACTACTTTTAGCCTTAATAAAACGAACAGGAACGCAAAGATTAATGAAGCCATTAAGGTAACTGTAAAAAATAGATGTGGCAGCCTCAACAT